ACACACACACACACACATTCATACATACATACATACAAATGAGGGCAAGAACACACAAACAGGCAGGCATACGCACATTTGTTTTCTCTGTCACGCCATAGACTCCATCAGCCGAAACCAGTCAAACTCATTTGGCCATTCGCTTTTCGTCTCAGTCCCACTGAATCAGTTGTCTTATGCTTCAGGTCAGAGGCGTTGCAATGCAATTAACACCCGCCCCACTTCAATCATACTCGCATACTCGTCTCCACATCTTCTCCCTCCTTCGGGGCATGTTAGACTCGGCCAGGCCTACCGTCCTTTGTCGGTGTGCCATAGATTCGTCGGCCAGACGTCGGGGTGTGTGGTGCGTGGGCCTGATGGGGGCCAGTATATGTGACACCTTTAACGCATACACGTCCGTGTGGCTTGAGGGCTTGTGTGAAAGCAGTCGTCGCCACGATGGGCTCTCGTCTGTCGCCTCATTATGCATGCCCGGCATAACACACCCTCAGACCGGCCCACACTCACTTGACAGACCACTTGGCCGTGCCGACGGCCTCGCGCCTCGCGCCTCGTCCAACCGTCCGTGCTTAATCCCTTCATCTCGTCATGCCACATCCGAGGCCCACTCGACGCCGTCTCTCGTCGCCAGACCCTGCGCTCGTGCCCCACTACCTCCGACACCGGTCGCCAGATCCCAGACACGACCAATCCCTCTCCAGTCAGGCCGACATGATGGAGGCGACAGGTGGATCACCTCTTCCACTCCCTACTCCTCCTCTTCCTCCTCCTCCTCCTCGGATCTGCCCGGCTCGACTTTAATGCTAATGAGACGGCAAGGAACAACCTGGAGCCGGAAAACTGTCGTCAGGCGCGATTTACTATTTGCACGACTGCCTCGTGTAAGCCAGCAGATACAGCAAATAGTAGCAATCCACCGTTGCCACGACAATTAAACAGTATGTGGCTCTTCAAGGTTGACCGGAGCTCCGTTTCCCCCTCACTACCCAACTCACTACCAACTCCCCAAAGGGACAGTGACCGCTTGACAGTAACCGTCCGACAGTCTTCTCTGCTGTCACCTGCTATTTTCTACTAGCCATTTCATTAGGCACCCAAAGTCGCACAAGTTGATTTCACTTTCGACCTCACCTCATCGTCTCTCATCACCACACCCAACGAGATTCGATAAAA